CCTCCCAAGTGCTGGGGTGACAGGTGTGCGCCACAATGCCTAGCAGTCCCCTCTTTACAGCAGAGCAACTGCCATCCACCCCCAGCAAAAGGACTCCTGTGCCACAGCTAGGATGGAACATGGGGAAGCCACCACTGTGCCTAAGCACTGACGAGTGCTTAGCAACCAGAGAGCAGTCATCAGGAGGGTCTGTGACAGTCTGGTCCACCAGGGCTGAAGGTAATGAACAGGGAGTACTTCCTGGATGAATGAGTGAACTGGATGCCTCAAAGAACAACTGGATGAATGAATGAATGAATGAATGAATGAACAAATGGCTGGCTGAATGGATGGGTGGCTGAATGACAGGCGGTTTGTATGAATGAAGAATGACTGGATGGACATGAATGGAGGGGTGATGAGTGAGTGGATGGGTGGATGAATGGAGACTGATGAATGGCTGTATGAGAAGTGAATGGATGTGCCATCAACCGTCAACACCCCCATCCCCCCATGTTCTGTCTCCAGTGCAGGCTTTCCCTCCTCGCCGCTGGCACCGGCCCCACCTCAGAGCTCTGTGCTTGGGATTTTCCTGCCGGTCTCGATCTCCATCTCATCAGTGGCTCACTCCTGTGACTCCACCCTGGGCCTCTCAGCACCTGAAACCGCTCTGCCCGCACATCTGGATTCCAGCGTCACACTCCCTCCACAGCCTGCCATGCCTCCCGCCTCCCTCTTCTACACTGCCCCACCTCCTACACAGGCTACTGCTTCCTCTTCCTGTCACTAGCTTCCCCTTGGCCTCTTTGGTGGCCAGGCTGGAGTCCCAGCTGGCCCTGGAAGCTCCTGGTTACCAGCTCCGCATGGTCCCTGCTGTGCTGCTCCTTCTGCAAACTTCCCTGCCCTGAGTGAGGCCCCTTCTCCATCCTCAGGGCCGACCCCTGTTGCTGGAGAGGCACAATGCCCGCCATCCCATGGCTGGGCAGGACCCTCAACCTGCTGACCCTTCCTCGGGCCATCCAAGCCCCTGGCCTGGCCCAGAAGGGTGTGAGGCTGTAGGACAGAGCAGACAGCAAGACAGCCAGGTACCAATGACCAGGAAGCCAGTGGCCAGTGTGTGTGTGTGTGTGTGTGTGTGAACACAGATGGGGGGACAGAGCATAGCTGAACAATCACTATCAAAGTGCAAAATTGGGAGCATGGCTTTGTGGTGAAGCAACTGCTTAGCATGTGTCAGGCCCTGGGTTTAATCCTTAGCACCAAAATACAAATAAAATAAACAGAGGGGGCTGGGCATGGTGGCACACACCTGTGATCCCAGCACTCAGGAGGCCAAGGCAGAAGGATTGCCATGAGTTCAAGGCCATACTGGGCTACATAGTGAGTACAAGGCCAGCCTAAACTATACAGTGAGACCCTGTCTCAATAAAAAATAAATACATAAAAAATATGTAGCTCAGTGTGAAAGCCCTGGGTTCAATCACTAGTGCTGCGAAAGAAAAGAATGTGGAAGTGTCAGAGACCAGGATCATTTGAAATGAAGGCAGTGAAGTAAACGGCATCGCAGAGGCTGCTGGCACAGGAGCCCACTCTGGGTCTGAGGAGTTTCTCAGGGTGACATCTGGCCAGGAGGGGGAAGGTACGAAGTGGCCAGGCACAGAGAAGCTTGGTCACAGTGTGCCAGGCAGCAAGAACGGCATGTGCACAGGGCCGGGCAGGAAGGGCAAGTCACAGAGGTGTGGGCCAGGAGGTCAGCGAGGGGCACAGCGTCTGCTGGACCAGGAAGGAAAATGTGATCCACGCAGGGGCACGATACCATCTGACATCATCTTCCTTTCCTTTCTCCTTTTTCAGTGCTGTGAATCAGCTACACCCAGCTTTGGTTTTGCTTTGAGTCCAGATCTCACTCTGTAGCCCAGGCTGGCTTTGACCTCTCAGCAATCCTCCTGCTCAGCCTCCTCAGTGCCTGGATAACAGGCGTGCGCCACCATGCCCAGCATTCACTGTCTTTTGCATTGGTGACGATGGCAGTTGTGACTCTTGAAACGCTGGAAAATCCACACCCTGCAGCACAACCCCATCCTCAGCAGAAGGCAACCCAGGAGTGGAACAGGTCAAACCCTCGGGCCAGAAACCGCAGGTCTGCAGGCCATTTATTTATCTATATATTTACTTATTTATTTGGCAGCACTGAAGATTGAGCCCAGGGCCTCACAGGGAACCACACCCCCATCCCTTTTTGTTTTCATTTTTATGGTTTTGTTTTGTTTTGGTAGTAGGGATAGAACTTATGACCTTGCATTTGCCAGGCAAGCACTTGTGTCAATGAGCTAAATCCCCAGCCCCACCTTTTTGTTTTTTGAGACAGGGTCTGCTAAATTGCTGGTATTAGCCTTGAATATGCAATCCTCTTGCCTCAGCCTCCCGAGTACAGACATTCTTTTAAAAAGGGACATTTTTATCAGCCTTTAGGTGATTTAGGGTCTGTCGGAAACTGCCAAGCACGGAGGCAACTAATGTAGGCCTGCACTCGAGTTATCTGCACTTGCAGGACGTTTCAGTATTTACTTTTCTTTCTGTTTTTATTTTAAAGAGATTGAAAGAAAACAAAAACAGTAGAAACAATATAGGATTTCAAAAAAAGCTGACAGGATATTAACTCATCACTATATTGCATATTGTCACTGTCAGAATAGCTGCTTTTATTTTTACTAGTACAGGTTTGCAGTCCGGAGCCACTGTGCCTGTCCGGAGCACTGGTGCTCACACGTACATCACGGTCATCACAGGGCTTGCACAACAGCCATCTCACTGGTATTAAATATGTTCCAGGAAAAAAAAAAGAGGATGGTGCTGTCATGGTGTTTACACAGTGAAGCTGAAGAAAATGAGCAAAACACTCAGCAGATGAGTTTCGGGGTGCAGGGAGCACTGCAGATCCAGAGGAGCAGGGGTTCAGAGCCCCAGGAGGGCACCTTGTGGGAGATGCGGAGCTGGTGAGAAACAGGACTGTGATGCCTCGTGGTTCTGGGCGCTTAATCTGCCAGGTTAGGAAGGGGACGCACCCAGAGTATCCCACACAGTGCAAGGCTGAACAGCAGTATTCTACATGGTCTTTGGTCCAGGGAATTCCTACAGAGCAACCCTGAGTAATTGAGAGCAATGCTTCTTTAGGTGTAAGCTTAGAATTTCTTTAAAAGCAGCCTACATATTCTGGAAAGCAAATGTTTTTGATGTAGCTGCCTCATTTAAAAGGCTAGTTTTAGGCAGGCATGGTGATGCACACCTGTAATGCCAGCACTCTGGAAGGCTGAGGCAGGAGGATCATTCGTTTAAGCCCAACCTGGGCAACTTAGTGACCTAGTGAGATCCTGTCTCAAAATAAAAACTAAAAAAAGGGTTGGGGCTGCAGCTCAGTGTCAAGGCCCTGGGTTCCCTCCTCAATACACACAGGCACAGTCACAGCAACATCATCGGCATCTCAGGCCAAGTCCTTATCCAACCTTGCGCCAATGGAGCAGTGTCTCAGAATGACTTTAGTTTTGTATTTACAGCCTTGGAGATGTTAATTAAACTGGACAAGAGTAATCTCAGCCCTTCTATGAGGAAAATGTTTGACATAATGATGTTTAATAAAAATAAAGTAAAAATAGAGCAATAACACTGAAAATAAACCTGAAACGCCATGCTATAAAAAAATGAACTACAAGCAGATTAGTGACAGCTTCTGGCTCCGTTGAGGGTGTGGAGTGACTGCTAATGGGGACGCTTTTTGGGATAATGAAAATGCCCTAAAAATGTTTGTGATGGTTACATAACTCCTCAGGACACTAGGAGTTATTATACGATACAGCTTACTTATTTAATGTTATTTATGCTGCACTAGGAATTGATCTGAGGGCCTGCACAATGAAATGCTCAACTCTTTTAAAATTTTTGACAGGGTCTTGCTAAGTGGCCTATGTTGGGAATGAACCAATTGTCCTGCCTCAGCCTTCCAGTGCACTAGGGTTACAGGTGTGCACCACCATGCTAGAGTGCTTTTATTTCTCTTAATAGAGGAATATCAAGTGGAGACAAAAATCACACTTTAACAAGTCAGTTTTTAAGAGTATTTCTAATGCAAGGCTACAGACACGGGCACAATGATAAAACACACTCTCCAGCCTGGCGTGGTGGCGCATGCCTGTTAACCCTAGCACTCTGGGAAGCTGAGGCAGAGAATTCCAAATTCTAGCCCAGGTCTGGGAAAGCTCAGTGGCACAGCGCCTGCCTGCCTGGCAAGCAAAACATGCTGAGTTCCATTCCCGGTCTAAAAAAAAAAAAGACTCAAAGGTCAAATTCTTTTTTTTTTTTTTTTTTTTTTTTTTGCTTTTTGGTACTGGGTATCAAACTCGAGAACCCTCAAGCTAGTGCTTGGCACTGAGTCACTGAGCTAAATCCTCAATCCCTCAGTGGCTAAATTCTAGTCCGGCCAGGGAAACTGAGACTTCGAGAGGCTCTCTCAAAAGAAAATTAAAAAAAAAAAAAACAAAAAACTAAAGAAAGAGCTGGGGCGGGCGTGATGGCGCCCTTGGGAGCCACTTGGGAGGCTGAGGAGGAGGATCGTCCCTCCTTGAGCACCTTGAGTCTTTGTCTCAAAAAAAAGAAAGAAAGAAAAGAAAAGGGCTGGTACGAAGCTACTGACATCAACCTCCAGTACAAAAACAAACGGAAAAAAAAAAAAATAAAAAACAAACAGCAACTTTTCCCCAGAATTCTCCACTGGGCCCCCTTTGCTCCTGAGTTCACTTGCTCACTCTCTCCGCCTCTGCCTGGACAGCGACCCGAACGCTACTCTCTGCTGCTCCGGATGCCGAGAGGAAGCACAGCTGGACATGATCTTGGCAAAAAACACTGCCGCCAGCCCCTGCCGTCTTGCCTGACTTCACCCTTCTTCCCACCGAACAAGCCGCTTTGCCTTCTTCCGGGAACGCTAGCTACTTCCGGCGCCCGGAAGTGCATCATCAACGCACAGGAAGCGAACACGTCATCACGCAGCGCCAGCCGCGCACGCTGTGTGCCTGGACCTCGGGTGTGTACTTGGTCCAGTGAGACGGGAGCCCGTGTCGCGAGCGGGGTCGCCTGTTCTCGGTGCCACCATGCAGGTCTCCAGCCTCAACGAGGTGAAGATTTACAGCCTCAGCTGCGGCAAGTCCCTTCCTGAGGTGAGCCTGTCTTCTGGGTGCCCGCGCTTGGAAGTCTATGGGAACCTCCTCGCGGGTTCACCTCCCCGCCCCCTGGCCCCGGTTCTTTTTTTCTCAGCAGCCCGCAGCTAGGCGAGGCCCAGGGGCGAGCGATGCCGCGGCAGAGGTCCGGTCGCCACTCGTGACCGAGGACGCGGCCCGGGCTTGGGGTGCTCGCAGTCGCTGTCGCGCGCAGGAGGAGAACCCGGCCGCGCGATGACGGACAGCGCGCCCCACGCCCGCCGAGTTCTGACGCGCGCTCGGTGCCGAGCACCTGCTCTGGTCCACTTGGGAGGCACAGCCGCGAACCACAGACTCGCGCCTGCAGTTTCCGGCGTGGTCTGATCGGAGTTTGGAACCTTGGGGGCAGAACTTGACTTAGAGCATCGGGGTTGGGCCGGGGCTGACCAGCGTTTCTCTTCCAGTGTTCACGTTTATATTGTATTATCTTCCCGTGCCGGGGGTGGAGCCCTAGGCCTAGGACATGCTAGGCAAAGGCTCCAGCACAGAGCGACAGCCCCGGTCCTCACCTTCTCTTCTGTAAAACTCGCAGCTAAGATCCGGCCAGGGGAAGAGTGACTGATCTGGGGTCACAGCCTGGGCCCTGAAGTTCGGTTTATCTCTTATAAGTGAAGGTCAAGTCTCTGTCCGTCCAAGCATTTCAAGATAGAGGCAGCCTTGGCCGAAGCTCATAGCCATTTTGAAACCCTACTCTTGTTAGATGTTTTCAAAGCAGCCACTTGACATTACGACCCTGTTGGCCTCAATGCGGCCTTTAGAAAGCAGAGTAAACATTAAATGTGCTTCCTATGCCTCTGTCCCCTAAAACACTTGAAGCCAGCAGTGAGATTCTTCCTGATCAAAATTCAAGTTTAAATAATTCCTTGTCTTCCAGGTGTACTTCGCACGTTGGGTCTTCCTCGTTTTGTTCCTTCATTCTGTTCACCTATTGAAGGGTTGTTCTGTGCTGTTTGTCTTTCAGCAGTACTAGAGAATGAAACCAAGGCCTTTGCACTGAGCTGTTTCCCCAGACTTTTTAAAAAAATATTTTGAGACAGAGTCCTGCTAAGTTGCTGACCAACTCTCAGATTTGAACTTGAGATTCTGCTGCCTCAGTCTCCCAGAGTGCCGAGATTACAAGTGTGCTCCACCAGGCTGGGCAGGGCAGCTGTTTGAAGTGTCAGGGTTCATGGTGAACATGTCAGATGAAATTTCCTGTTGGAGAAAAAGTGAGCAAACGAAAAGGTAATGCCAGATGTTGGAAAGTACTTTGAGCATTGAGCAGTGACTAGCGGAGAGCTCTTATGGATAAACTGTCAGAGGAACTGTTATGTGCAGTCTGTAGCGAAGTTCTCTCCAGCAGAGACAGCATGGGAACAGGAACAGGGATGAAGGAAAGGAGCCAGTCAGGGATCAGTACATGGAAGAGTTTCCAGTGCCACAGGAACAGGAGAGTAAGTGTCCCCACAAGGGACCATCCTTGATGTGTGGAAGGACTGGAAGAGGCCCAGGCATGGCTTTGGTGGCCACGCTCCTGGAGGACAGCTTTGGGGACCAGGAAGCAGGAAGTCAAGGTTATGCTCTATGCTCTAGACTGCCTCAAGGTGACAGGCGGCTGTGGCTGGGGAGGGGAGAGAGAGGAGGGCAACTGGGTGTGGTGGTGGGGGCTGCTATCGGCAGGGATGTGGGAGCTGGGGCCAGTGGGATGGTGATGCATGGTGTGGTGTCAGAGAGGACTGCACCACAGTGAGGAAAAGATGGTGGGTAGGGCATATGGCAAGGTGAGCAGGGTTTAAACACTGAAGGCCTGAAGTTCTGATGGATGTCACACAGGTCGTGGGTGTCATGGTTTTGTGTTCAGGCCAGGAGATGGCAGCTAGGGTCGTTATCCTGCCGTCGACTAGGGAAACTGAGGGCAGAGTTGCCCCCAGGGACAGCCCTGCTTCAGGAGAATCACAGTTGACCAGGGCTGCATTACTGTTGCCTGTCCATACTATGGAATTATGCAGGCTGCCTAGCAGCTGTGAAGAATAAACTGAGGTATCCATGAATATGACTGTGAAAAGTACCGTGTATTTACTGTCCAGTGTTAGCTGTTCATCTGGTTTTACTCTTTATAAAAAATGTACCTTGATGGTCAAGGTAGCGTATGCCTCAGGGAGGCACAGGCAGGAGGATCTCTATGAGTTCAAGATCAGCCTAAGCTATATAGGTTGAATTACATAGTGAGACTGTCTCAAAAGCAAAACAAAAAGTTTGTTAAACTTTCCCCTTTTAATGATTTATTTTTACAGTTTTCATTTAAATCATGAAAGTTGTGCACTTGTTGGTGAACAGTGAATAGTGCATTTGTTCCACCTGTGAATTATAACCAATAGCTCTGCCTTACCTTGGTTCAGTGAATTTATTTTCTTTCACATAAAACACAAGAATTTAAGAAACTTATTGTCGAAATCTGTAAGTATATAAAAGGAAAGTCCAGAAAATCTGTCAGCAGCAGGGTTAAGAGGACAGAAAACGTTCACGTTCTATGTTATGTATTCCTGTCAGATTTGAATTTTGCAATGCCATATGAGCCCATGTTACTTTCTAAGTAAGTAAAAAAAAAAAAATTTTAAATGAATTTGTTTTAAAATGAAGTCTCTGTTTTCCTTCAGTGGCTTTCAGACAGGAAGAAGAGAGCATTGCAGAAGAAAGATGTTGGTGAGTATGAAACCCCCCAGCTTCAGTGACCTGAGGCGTCCTGCTTGCACTCTCAGGTGGTCATGTGCAAGCAAGGGGCCGCAGAAATGCGGTGGGATTTACGTAACAAAAAGTAAACATTTTGCCTGTTTTCTTTGTTTCTCTGGTGCTGGAGATTGAACCCAGGGCCTCACACATGCTTGGCAGGCTCCTCCAGAGTGACAGCCCCAGCCCTTATTTTTTGTTTTGGGACAGGCTCTCCCTAAGTTGCCAGGCTGGGCTGAAATTTGTATCCTCCTGTGTCAGCCTCCCAGCTAGGGGATTTCAGGTGTGCACTACTACACCTAGCTCCCATTTCTCATGCCACCCTAAGGTTTTGGAGGCGTAAACCTGTTTGTTTATATTTATTTTTTAGAGACAGGGTCTTGCTAGATAGTCCAGGTTGGCCTTGAACTCTCAGCAATCCTCCTGTCTCAGCCTCCCAAGTGCTGGGGTTCAGGGGTGCACCACTAGGCATGGCAAGCCTGTTGTTATTTGTAAAAAGGAAATAAAGATTTTCTTTGGTTGTAGGTGTGATCCAAGGACAGTGGATTAAGGTGGTTTAATGTTTCTTCTCTTCTCCCAGGAGGTTTTAAATATTCATTGTGTATGTGCCACATTGTTTCAGATTTTTTTAAGTTAGTACTGATTTTTTTTTTTTTTTTTTTTTTTTTGTCTTTTTCTTTTTTATCGGTATCGGAGATCGAACTCACGACTGCCTGCTTGCAAGGCAGGTGCTTCCACTGAGCTAAATCCCCAGCCCCCTAAGTTAGTACTGATACTTTTGCTTTTTTTTTTTTTTGTCTTTTAGAGACAGGGTTTCACTATCAGTTTAGGCTGGTCTTGTGTTCACTTTGTAGCCCAGGCTGGCTTAAAATGCATAGTGCTCTTCTGCCTCTGCCTCCTGAGTGCTAGGATTACAGCATGCATAAGCAAGCCTGGCTGATACTTTTGCTTTTGAAAAGTGGAAAAATACAATGTGTCAGTTTTCCATTACAGTGACAAAATATTTGAGATAATAACTTACAAAAAGGGAAGGGTCTCTTGATCTCACCTTATTGTGGATTTCATCTGTGGTCAGGTGGTCCTGTCGTGGTCTCAGGACCATTGTCACTTGGTCCCCTCCAGGGGCCTGAGACCTTCCCAAGGACCCAACCTCTGAGGTCCTACTGTGGGCAGAGTGCAGGCCTTTGAGGAAACTGCGGACCCAACCTTAGCACAGAGTGGCAGAGATGAATGCAGGGGCTGTGGGGACACTACCATCTGACAGGAGACCCTCGGGGTGTGCGGTCCCTGCTTGCAGCTGCTGTGAGCCTGCCAGACAGGCCACCTCTGGGCGTTCAGCCTGCCCCTGCTTTGTGTCTTCGCAGACGTCCGCAGGAGGATCGAGCTCATTCAGGACTTCGAGATGCCAACTGTCTGCACCACAGTCAAGGTGTCCAAAGACGGGCAGTACATCCTCGCCACAGGTAGGTGTCCCCTAGCTGCCGTCTGCCTGCATTCCTGGCAGAGAGTGCAGCAGTGGGTCGTGAAGCTTCTCAGTCAATTGTTTTCCATTTTCTGTGCCCCGCTTATCCTTTGCTCGTTTCCCATAGGATGTTTGGGGGGCTGCTTCTGAGTGCTCTCTGCTGCTGAGGATGCAATGATCACACTAGCACTCCTCAGGGCGCGAGCTTGGGCAGTGGGTTCTCAGGTTCCACACTGTGGTCACTTCCTTACAGGAACGTATAAGCCCCGGGTTCGCTGTTACGACACCTACCAGTTATCCCTGAAGTTTGAGAGGTGTTTAGATTCGGAAGGTAAGAGACTTTTTAAGAGGCTAATTTTGAAGTCATAAGAATTGCTCCTTGTGTTGTCTGCTGTGTAGTTTGAAGATGAGACTGGACTATTCATTAACTTTCACTGTCTACAGATGAGGGCAGACGCAGAGGCTGAAAGCACCTCAAGCAGCTCTCTGCTCACATGGAAAGCCCCTGACGGCCTGGCCTTTTTGCTTAGGGCAACCTTGCTGTGGCCATCTGGGCCTCAGCAAGAATTTGCTCCCAGACTTTTCTCAGACTGTGGGTGGGACTCAGCGGGTGGCAGCTGTGAAACTGGGGCAGCATCCTGTGCTGACTGCCCGCTGGGATCCCTTGGCCCATAGAGGCTGCCTGCACTCCTTGTCACATGGTTGCCTGCCCCATCAAGCCATCAGCCACCCATTGGATGGTCCTGGTGCTTCAGAATTTTTCAGCTTTCTGCTCTGTTGCCAGTGGGAGAAGACTGCTGTGAAGGGTCTCAAGTGACCAAAGAGAGGTCTCAGCAAGTCCCAGGTTCCACCTGTGCTCTCAGGTGGAGGGGATCAGTTCTTGGGGTGAAAGTTGCTGGGGGCATTCTCAGAATTCTCTCTCTTTTTTTTTTTTTTTTTGTCTTTTTTGAGACAGGGTCTTGCTATGCAGTTCGGGCTGGCCTTGAGCTCACTTTGTAGCCCAGGCTGGTCTCGAACTCCCAACGATCCTCCCACCTCAGCCTCCCGAGTGCTGGGATTACAGGCGTGAGCCACCACACCTGGCTTCATTCTCAGAATTATCTTCAGCACAGTGGACACATGTACTGGTCAGCTTTCCTGTTGCTGGGGGACATACCTGATGTCCATGGTGTAGCGGAGGAGCAGATGGATGTGGCTCATGGTTTCAGGGGTTTCATTCCATGGTCAGCTGCTCCAAAGCAGGAGCATCATGGCAGAAGACATGGGGGAGCAAAGCTGCTCAGTTCATGGTGGTCGGGATGCAGAGGAGGGAACAGCACGAGAGAATGGGAGGGACTAGATAGAGACCCCACAATAACACCTCCATAACCACCTAGACACTCCCAGGAGTGTGCCCAACCCACCTTGTCCCAGGCTCCTAAGCCAGTCAAGTTGGCAGTTCACAGTTGCAGAGAGCTAAGGTGGGAAAGGTAACTTGAATCAGGGACCTGGTGGTGGGGGTGATGGAGGGTAGAGGAGTCAGAGGGCTGTGGTGTCTGCAGAACTGGAAGCGCTAGCCGCATGTGGTGGCTCACGCCTGTAATCCCAGCACTCAGGAGGTTGAGGAAGGAGGATTGTTGTGAGTTCAAGACTAGCCTGCACTACAGAGTGGACTCAAGGCCAGCCTGAACTGCATAGAGAGACCCTGTCTCACAAAGACAAAAAAAAAAGTGGAGGCCCTTTCTCTGTCTTCCTCACACTTGGGCAGACCCAGTGTGCCGCCATTGTGAGGTGTTTCCGCTCTTGAATTTTGTCCATGTAAAAAGTCACTGTGAGTGGTGGGAATGCGTGCTGTGTGAAACACCACACCGCCCCGGCGATCTTCAGTGAGTAGGCACCAGAGTGGATAGCAGTGTTATTCTTTGTGTGGTCAGCATTTTAGTGTTCTCTAATATATATTTGAGCCTTTAAAAATTCAAGCACATGTTTTCCTTTGTTCTGTTCTAGACAGTGTCTATTGAGAGACTGGAAAGCTATTAGTTTTCCTCTTGGCATTTTGGGGGGCAATGTGACTATTTTGTTCTTGTTTTATGTAGGGAAATCTGTGCTGAATTGGAAACTGTTATTTATATTTTATTGCAAACATTGGTGACTTTATTTTTCCCTATTACTTTTCAGTTGTCACCTTTGAAATTTTATCTGATGACTATTCAAAGGTATGTTGGACAGTATTGGTTTCTCCTGACTATGTCCAAGCAATGAGTGTGTGGAATTTATTTTTAGATGAGAATTTTTATTTTCTATTCCACTGTTAGCATAAAAATGTCTGTGCAGTAGTGTATAACCTATCATTTTCTGTTACGTACTTTCATTTTAATACATGTGTGCTGCATAGCAGTGGTGGTAAGACAAAAGCCGTTACTGTGGAGTTGCTTATTTCTAAACTAAAACCTCAGTATTCAGGTTTCATTGAGGTGTTGGCACTTTGCAATAAGTAAGTGGGTTTTGGTTTGAGCAGTTCTTTCTGAAATGTTCACCCACACTGCTGTGTAAGGTCTTTACAGTACTCCTAGATGCTGGGCATGGTGGTGCACGTGTGATCCAGATTCAACCAGCCTCGATTACGTAGCAAGACCTTGTCTCAAAAAACAAAGCAAAACAAAATTAGCAATAGTAGTAGGGACTTTGGTCAGCACAGTGTCAAAATTGGTTGTCCGCTTTGATGACTGTTCCTCCTATTGCTTTGAGGTTTGGCACTAGGATTTTAAGTCATCATAAATTGAAATTTGATTTTCTTCACTCAGAGAATATTAGGATAATGGGATTATCTGTCTGTTCTCTGAAATTTGCGGAATCAAACAGTTCCATTTACGCTTAGGTGACATTGCTGTTACTTCTGATTTGTATTTTTAAAACAAATGATGGAAGAAGCGTGACCATAGTAATCCTCAGGTTGGAAGAAAGAGATTATGTAAATTAAAATAGTTTTTACTCTGAGCTTACTCTTGAATAAACTAGCAACTGGTTCTAACAGTGATACATTGTATTACATCAGTAAAGCAGTATTGAATGAGGCAAGGTTAATTACATCTGCACTAACATTAAGAATGCACAGAGATGTGTGTGCTTAGATTGGGTAGCTATTTCCTGTTTCTAAATTCCCTTCTTTGCATTGTAATTTAAATATTTTTAGTAGTTTTTCAGTATGGAGTAGACAACACAGCTATTTTGTGTAGAAATTTAAAATCTTTTGAGTTATCAAAGTTAAATATTCCAATGCAGAGAATGTGAAAAATATATAAAAGTCAACATATATCATTTGTGTGCATATAAAATAAAAAAATAGTTCTCATCACATGTGAAATCTAATCTATATTTTTGGTAACCAGTAGCAGTCATCTTTCTTAGATCCTTTTTTTTGATACACAGTCTCACTGTATATAGCCCACACTGTTTTCAGATTTGCAATGATCCTCCTGCCTCAGCCTCCCAAGTGCTGGGATTACAGATGTACACCACTGCGCCCAGTTATTCACACAGAGCTTATCAAACTGTGATAATAGCAGGATCATTAAAATATGATGTCCAGTGACACAGGAAATTCCTTAGCACGGTCATTGTGCAGGGCTGCATGCTATAAGATGCTGAAGCCTGAGACCTGAGCCGCCTTCGTGTGCTCTCTTCCTTTAGAAGAAAGCATTGAGGGCACAGGAGCCTTCAGGAGCTGAGGTAGCTCCCAGACTCCTCACCCAGGGGGGGTGTGGGGACACACACACACACACACATACAGAGGCGAATGCAGCCCTGTCTGCTGGTTTTGGTGGCGATGATAATCGCCTGAAAGCTGAGCAAAGCCGTTTCCTTGTTTCTGTGCAGATTGTGTTCCTGCACAATGACCGGTACATCGAATTCCACTCACAGTCGGGCTTTTACTACAAAACCAGAATCCCCAAGTTTGGAAGGGACTTCTCCTACCACTACCCATCCTGTGACCTGTACTTCGTTGGTGCGAGGTATTGGGTCCAAAACGCGTGGCTTTCTTCTCTACTTGCAGGACAGCCCCTTCTTAGATCTCATACTTTCCATCTGTTTAGTCAGCCCTGGTAGAGTGTGTGTGGTCCTCGAAAAACTACATCCAATAGCCAGTCCTGGGAAGCAGGGATAAACACAACCACAATAACCCCGCATTCTGCATGTTCATGCGTTTTTGGTTTTTTTTTGGTTTTTTTTTTGTCTTTCGTTTTTATCGGTACCAGGGATCGAACTCATGACTGCCTGCTTGCAAGGCAGGCGCTTATGCCACTGAGCTAAATCCCCAGCCCCTGTTCATGCGTTTTTGTTTGCAAGTGGCTTCAGGCTATTTTAACACCTATTATTTATTCCACTTACTAAAATACTTTCTAGCAGTGAAAATCTATCTGATAAACATATGTCACAGGAGTTAAACTCAGACACACTGATAGGAAATATGTAAGCCTCTGGACACAGCCCAGATGCCTCACTGCATGATAGCATTGTTTTTCTTTTTGTTTACCCATTTCTGTTCTCCGAAGTTACAGTTTCCACTTTAGGCTTGTTTAGTATCAGTGATGATTTTTTGTTGTTGTTTTGAGAGTCTCTCTCTGTAGCACAGGCTGGCCTTAAACTCACTGTGATTCTCCTGCCTCAGCCTCCCGAGTGTTGGGATTACAGGCGTACACCACCGTGCCTGGCCTCAGGGATGAGTTCTTATTGGGCTCATATGTAATGAAGGTTTCTGTAGTTAAGGACTGTAGCTAAAGGACATTCGAGCAAGATGCAATAGGAATAGTGCTGAGATCCGTAAGGCAGCAGTAGTGGACTGAGTGGCTGCCTCATGACATTGTGTGACATTGCGTTGTGGAGCCGGTCTAAGTTTAACTTGGGAGGTTAATGCCAAGGTAGCTTCATAGCGGTCTTACTTCCTGAAGTGTTTCAGTGGAACTATTTCAAGTAGAATAGACATGAGTCTCTAATCCCAGCTACTCGGGAAGCTGAGGCAGGAGAATTGCAAATCAAAGGCCACCCTGGGCAGCTTAGGAAGACCTGTCTCAAAATAGAACAAAATAGAAGTTTATAAAAAGCACTGAGGATGGAGCTCCATGGTAAAACACCTCTGAGTTCTTGGACCACAAAAATGAGCTAACAAATGAACAAAAACCAAAGATGGAAAAGACATTTGGGAGAGAACCTTAAAGGAAATAAAAGACCATCTTCCTGCCTTCCAGCTGTTCCAGGTCAGAGTGCCGGGTCACTTAGGGATGTGCCCACCTGCTCTGCCTGGAGGAGGGAGGACCAGCAGGGCGGCCCAGGCAAGGTTTGGGGAAGCACTGCTTGGCCTTGTCGAGGGATTCCAAAGCTTTATCTTAAAGTGCTGCCTTTTGTGAATACAGAGATTAGGCGTCTGTTTTAGACAATCAGGAAACTATAGAAAAGTTTAAAATGCATTCCCGTGCGGTGATGCCACCCAAAGGAGACCTCGTTAGTACTCACTGTGTTTCTTCAGTCCCACACTCACATCAGATGCACTGTGCGGATGGATGTTTGGGGACTCGGTCTCCCTGCCGCCTTGGCAGTGCTGTCTTGGCTCAGAGTGCTGTAACTCACTTTTCTGCTTGACCAATTCCCAAAGGAGGTGAATACATTTTAGCTTAGAACTGAAGAACTTTTTAAATCAGTTTTACCAAAGAAGGTGGATTTCGAGTGATACATATCGTTCTGAAATGTGTATTTATGAAACTTGTGGGTGTTTGAGGGCTGGCGGCTGTTTCCCAGGTGTGGCTTGCTATACTGTTTTGCAGCTCTGAAGTTTACAGGCTCAACCTGGAGCAGGGACGGTACCTGAACCCCTTGCAGACCGATGCCGCGTGAGTATGGGCTTCGCGTGGCCAGCAGGGGGCGCGGGCCACTCAGGGATCGCGCAGAGCAGGCTGGGATGAGCCCTGGACTGCAGCCCCAACACGCAGTAAACGCATGAATCCATAAATGCGACCTTTTCTATCTCCCGTTTTTATATCTATGAGTCCGAGTCAGCAGCGCAGAATGATCTGGCCCCTAGGGGGGATGGCGCATGCGCATAACACACCTCCAACCTGCAGCCCCCTCCCCTCCATCCTCAGCATTTGGAGGATTTTTAAAGATGAGAAGCATAGGTCAGGATCCAAAACCAAGTCAACCCTAAAGATACTTGTAGTCTACATTGGCTTGCAATGCTTTTATTTATAAAACAAAATAAACCAACTTGTAGTGTCATATAACACATTATCAGTAACAGAAAGGCATCCCCTCTTCTGCTCTTGACTTCCTGTTTGTACTAGCAGCTGGTGTTTATCCAGTGGCTTCCATCTGGGGACGCTGCTGCCCACTTGCTGTCTCTCCATTTAATCCTCACTTTACAGAGCTGGAGGGAGGAGTCGCCAGGGTGCCTGGCTCAGGTTGTCATGGTGGCAGCCTGCTTTCTCAGGAGTGGACCTGGCTGGCCAGGGAGAGGAGAATGAGGCATTCTTCCCCGGGATCCTGTTTCAGGGGCGGGGCTGCAGCTTATCCCTTGGCAGGTGGCCTGTGACAGGCTCAGGAACAGGCTTATAGAGGGGGACACTGAATCCCTCAGGCCTCCTGGGCTCCTCTGCAGGTGTGTGGGAGGGAAGTCATGTGCGCTGTCCCCTGAATCTGAGTGACTCTTCTGAGAAAGTTCATGGAGTACCTCTTCCCCTCGAAAGTAGATGTCCCTTCATGCTCTGCCCACATGGGCAGGACAGGGTGGTCACACCCCGGGACATCACCCATCTTCACACCTCTGTGGCCCACCCCCCACCCTCCAGCTGACTAACACTTCCCACTGCTGCTGACCTTTCCAGGGAGAATAACGTCTGCGACATAAATCCCGTGCATGGCCTGTTTGCCACAGGAACCATAGAGGTGAGCAGATGTGGACTCTTTTTAAAGTATCATTCACACACTGGGTAAGGAGTGGTGGTCTGAGCAGCATGGGCTGAGGAGCTTGGTGGTCTGAGGTGAGGATGAGCCTGGCTTCCTGTGAAATGGCCCCATCTGAAAAAGGGAAAGGAACTTCCAGGAAAGAATTGCAAACCAGAGAGCAGGGAGCCATGATCTCAGAGTGCTTGGCCAGCTGTGTTCCAGTGGAGGTTTCCCCAGATGTGTTAATGTCAGGATGTACAAAGGAAGGTGTCTCAGGGCTGGAGCATAGGCCCCAAAACACTATTTATGTTCCATAGAGACCTTCTGTACTAACCTGAGGTCAGTGTAGACAGTAATTTTTAACAGTTTTGTGCACAAGGTATTATTTCAGTGTGGAATTTTCTACTTGGGCTGATGTTCAAAAAGTTTCCTGTTTTGAAGCATTTCAGATTTCAGATTAGGGATTCAGCCTGAATGAGTATTAAACAGAACCTTAGCCATTAAAAAGAATGATATATGCTGGGTGTGGTGGCATACACCTGTAATTTCGGCAGTCAGGAAGCTGAGGCAGAAAGATCACTGCAGGTTTAAGGCCAGCCTAGAATACATAGTGAGTCTCTATCTCAAAAAGAAAAAAAGAGAAAAAAACCCCACAACTCTGAGATAATAAGAATGTAGCTACATATCTATTGTGTTCAGTAATCACTCATATACATTTTGTTCTTTTGCTTTAGTATCTATAAAAGTGGGTGTGTGTGTGTTAAAAGTATGTTTACTGAGAAATTTCATCCCCCAGTGTTTCTTAAAAATGAAGGCTTACCTGGCAGTCCCAGCTCCTGACAGGAGGTGGATGGAGCCCAGGAATTTGAAGCCAGACTAGGCAGTACAATGGGGCCTCCAACTCAAGAAACAATGGAAAGACACAAAAGAACTTTCTCCTGTGAAATCTTGATAGTGTTGTCATCACTAAGAGATGTGATATTGACAAAATAATTAATTGTTTAATGGTGATGCAATAACACTTCAGTGCTTCCATCCCCTCATTCGTACTGAAATGTTTTGGACCACCCTGCACCATCAACCTAGCATCCAGTCAGATGTCCTATGTAACCTTGGTGACATTTTTGTAACCAGTGTTTTTCTTTTCTTAATTATAAAATCAGCTCATGTCAAAATGTTTAAATAGTGTTAAAAGGGATGTAAGGTAAAAAGAAAATTTTTATTCCCCAGGTGGTAAGTCTTGTGAATAGAGCTTATTTTTCTGTGTGCTTAAAGCATTTCCCATACCAGCTTTGCTTTAAAATTATTGCCAGAGCCAGGTGTGGTGGTGCACTCCTGTCATCCCAGCACTCAAGAAGCTGAGGCAGGAGGAATGTTGTGAGTTGGAAACCAATCTGGGCTATAAAATGAGCTCAAGGCCAGCCTGAACTGCATAGTGAGACCCGAAAAAAGACCCTCGAAAAGACCCTCAAAAATAAAATAAAATAAAAATAAAATTGTTGCCAGGCATGGTAGCACATGCCTATAGTCATAGCACTCGGGAGGCTGAGGCAAGAGGATCTCTTCAAGATCAAAACTAGCCTGAGCTAGCTAATGAGCCCTTAGTGAATGAATGACTCTTCATTTGCATAGGGTCGAGTGGAGTGCTGGGACCCAAGAACCCGGAGCAGAGTGGGTGTGCTGGACTGTGCCCTCAGCAGCGTCACGGCAGACTCCGAGTAAGTTGGAACTGATCTGTGGTGGAACTTTCTCAGCTTGTAGCTGAGCAGCTGGACCAAAGGAAGGTAAAGTGACGTGCTGCAGAGTGGGACTTTAGACTTAGGTCTGAAGGTGGACTGTGTTTATGCTGCACAGTCCTCTCCTGACAGCTGACTAAGCTGATAGTTTCTAATGTGCCACGTGAAGCGCCCCCCCTCTGCTCCTCCGCTCTCTGCCTTGCCCTGGCCTTCTTTCTTCCTCAGGCCTTGCTGTGTGTCCCAGGTCGACCCTGAACTCCCAGCGATGCTCCCGCCTCAGCCTCCCGGGTGCTGGGTGCAGCCCAGCTAGGAGTGAGGGCTGTTAGAGATGGAAGCCAGCACATGTTGTCCTGGAGTGCAGCTGCTCCCTCTGGAGTCAGCACGAGAATGCTGTGGGCCCTCCCGGCGTAGTTAAAGGGAGGCGGGGGCTGGCACTCTGGGCAGGGCATACCCGAGCTGGCTGGAATCGGTTGTCCCCTGGGTGAAAGCTAGGAATGTGCTTTCCCTGTTGGACCAAGTGAGGATAAGGGACAACCTCGTCACCAGTACACGGCAGACACCCACTCACACACGGACCCTTGCCTTGCAGGGTCAGCAGCCTGCCAACCATCTCCGCTCTGAGGTTCAACGGTGGCCTCACCATGGCAGTGGGCACGTCCACGGGGCAGGTACTCAGCCTTGGAGGGCGGCACATGGGTCTGGGGGGCTTTCCCGGGCAATGGGAGGCAGAGCTGCAGGCACAGGACTTTGCCTGACCCAGGAGAGGACTGAGATCTGTCCCAGTGGGTGCCCTCCCTGTGGGCTGAGACCAAGGCTGAGGTCCTGGCCCCTCATGGCTGGGCAGCCTTTGGGGACTGGTTCTGTCCAGCTGCCCCAGGGGCTCAGGAGAGCGGGAGCACAGCGGAGGCCTGGCTTCTCCCCATGCTGCGGGACACCTCCCGCATGCTTCTGTAGGGCTTTCCTGCTGCAGTGAGAGTACTTAGACCCAGCATGCCAGAAACTCCTCTCAGGGTTGTGTTTAGGAAACTGCCTTAAGATTTCTCAGAGTGCGGCTGGCAGCCTTCAGGCTGTTGGTGCCCTGGGCTGTCATTGTGAGGAGTAGAAGGGAAAGAAACTGGGTATGGTGGTCCGTGCCTGTCATCCCAGCGCTCGGAAGGCTGCAGCAGGAGGGTCACTGTGAGTTCAAGGCCAGCCTGAGCTACATAGTGAGTTTAAGGTTAGCCTGGACTACATAGTAAGACCCTGTTTCAAACCAAAGCAAAAGAAAACAAAAGATGGAGGTAAGGAAACGTAAGGCAGCCTAGCCGCTGTTCTGACTTCTGAGGTAGAATGTTTGTTTCAGGAAAGGTAACTGGTGTTTTCCCCTCAGGTTTTATTATACGATCTTCGATCCAGTAAGCCGTTGCTGGTTAAAGATCACCAGTATGGGCTGCCCATCAAGTCCGTCCACTTCCAGGACTCCTTAGATTTGATTCTGTCGGCAGACTCAAGAATCATCAAGATGTGGAATAAGAACTCAGTAGGTGTTTTTTTTTTTTTTTTTTAATTGAAATTGCTGCCTTTTTTCGTTTGCTGTATTCCTGGTGTTCGTTTTCTGTGTGCACACGTACATGTGCATGTGCTGTGTGGGTTCTCCTCACTTGGGAAGTAGGAGAAGGAAGTCACTTGGATAAAAACACATTTACGAGGTCAAGATGCAGCTCCTCCTGTTGGGAGGACTCCTGCTTACTGGCATTGGCTGGCACTTTTGAGGTTGAGTCAGGCTGAGAGAAAATCATTATTTAAAGAGTATCCTTGGGTTGTGACACACATCTGTAATTGGAGCACTCAGGAGGCAGAGACAAGAGGATCACTGTGAGTTCAAGGCCAGCCTGGGGCACATAGACTCTTGTCTCAAAAACCCAAAAAAGAAAAAAAAAAAAAAAGCCTGTCCTGGGCTGGGCATTGTGGCTCACATCTATAATTGCAGCTCTCAGGAGGCTGAGGCAAGAGGATTGCAAGTTTGAGGCCAGAACGGGCTATAGAGCAAGACCTTCTTTCAAAAAAAGTCTATCCTCGGGGACTTCTGTGTTCTTGACACCTTGGAGCTCTCCTAGCCCTAGGGAAGTCTCCGGGAGCTGCAGAGTTTCCATGAGTGTCGTGTCACATCCGTTTCCACCTCTTCCCCTCGTCCTAGATGTGGATTTTGGCAACAATGACAGCTTTGCAGTAATTTCTTATAGTAGCCAGATGTGGTACAAGCCTATCATCCCAGTATTCAAGAGACTGAGGCAGGAGGATCGTCACAAACTGCCAGCCTGCCCTTCATAGTGAGTTCAAGGCCAGCCTGAACTACACAGCAAAACCCTGTTTCAAAGAAAGACAATTTTTTTTTAAGCATATGTGTCTCAACGTTGTATTTTCCAAGACATCCGTTTTCCTGCAGATGTCTCAAAGGTGTTACTCTGTGTAGCTGAGTAATTCCATTATATATGGATATCACATTTTCTTTATCCAGTCGTCTATTTGGACGTACGGCTGCTTCCAGGGTGCAGCCATTAGGAATTGTGCTGCTGTAATCATCAGTGGGCATGTACTGCTGTAATATAGTGGCTTACGCTCTTTGGGAAAATACCTAGCAGGGTTCACTGGGTCATGGGATTTCTAACTAGAGTTTCAAAGAAATAATAAACATAAAAGCAGTATATTATTTTGAAGTTTTCTTCCCTCAACTCTGAGTCATTTAAAAAATAAAAAAATCTTGTATTTCTGGTTTTAATTCACCTGCTTTTCATTTCCTGTTTTGAAACTTAAATATTTTGAGAGATACTGCATCCCATAAATTGGAAAAATGCATCCAGTATAGCAGTTGCTCTTAAGAATTGTCTACCCTTAATTAGAAACAGCATCTTTTTTAGTTCCTAGTTTTTGTTGTTGAGGCAGGGTCTCTGTGCTGGCCTTGAACTCTTGGCTGCCTCGGCCTCCTGAGTGCTGGGATTACAGGCAATAACTGGTGCCCTTTTTCCCCCCTTTTGGCCTGTGCTCTTCCAGTCTCCTGGGGAGATGGGAAGGCAGGTTGGGTGCTGCATGACTCCGTGTGGGATGAGAGCTGGGCTGTGGTTTCCCTGGCGCACGCAGCTCCCTCTGTCCTGGGCCCCACTCCTTGCTCCCCTCGGCCCGGGAGCGTGCTGCGGCTTCCGGTGGCCCCATCTCCAGTGTGGGTGCTTGGAAACCTCATGTTCTAGTGGTTACAGTTTAGTTCGGCCCTTTTGTTTCTTATGACTAAATGCTTCCTCTGACTAACACCCACATTACTCAGTTTGGCAGGACTTGCTCTCTTGCGTGCCTTGTTTATCTTTCTCATCCCTTTTCTCTACCCACTCCCTACCCCCTTTGCTTTTCAGACAAGTCCAGGCTGGCCTTGCACTTGCTCTGTAACGCAGGCTGGCCTAGAGCTCACGACCCTCCTGCTTCAGCCTCCCGAGTGCTGCGATCACAGGTGTGCGCCACTGTGTCCTGCCCTGCACACGCCTTCTGACTTTCCTCCCACTTCCCTTGCTGTGCTCCCTGCCACCGAACTGGTAGAGCTCTGCCTTCGCTGCGGATGGAGCACCAGCTGTGCCTGTTGGGTCACCTCTCGCAGCCCGCACGCTCTCCCTGGGGCCTCCTCTGAGCCGGTGCTGCCCAGTATTGCCAGGCCCTCGTGTCCCTTGCTGACCATTGCTCCTCGGGGCCCTCTGAGCAGGGTCAGCTCGGATCCCAGGTGCATAGCCGCCTTGGCCAGGCTGATGCATATGCAGTCCAACGTCCCCTTTTCTGACATGCAAAACTCAATTTTTAAAACCTTGGACTTTCCCCCCAGAGCCTTGCACTTTCCAGGGAGGCACTTGTGCCATGAGCTATATCCCCAACACATCACCCCCTCTCCCTTTTTGAGATAGGGTCTGGCTATATGGTAAAGGCTGGCCGTGAGCTTACTATGTAGTCCAGGCTGGCCTTGAACTCCTGGCAATCCCCCTGCCTCAGCCTTCCAAGTGCTACCACACTGGGCTTCGGTTGTTTTTTGGTTTTTTTTTTTTTTTTTTTTGGTCTTTTTCCTTTTTATCGGTACCGGGGATCGAACTCACAACTGCCTGCTTACAAGGCAGGCGCTTATGCCGCTGAGCTAAATCCTCAGCCCCTGGGCTTCGGTTGTAAATTATACAGTCAGGCCATCTTCTGTGTGTGGTGGTGGATGACTGCATTCTGTTTCTAGTCTCCTTAGTTGCCAGAAGTCCGCTTTCTTTAGCTCTCCTTATTGTTATTTCTGCTTCCTATTTTAGGGGAAAATATTTACCTCCTTGGAGCCAGAACAGGACCTCAATGATGTTTGCCTCTACCCCGTCTCAGGTAAGCCCCCTGTGGCCAGCAGCTCACGCTGAGAGGCACTGGCCATGCAGCAGGGCTTGCACTTCCTTGGCCTTGCGGTGCCCTTGCTTTGCTGGGAAGTGGCCTGGCTGACCTGGCCCACTATCCACAGGGCCACATCACACGCCCTGGTGCCTTCCCATGATCAGAGAGCAGCATGCAAGTTGGGAGTCAGGGGTTTGGGTGACTGGAAACCCTAGGTTTCATGTACACCCATCAGCAAGATACAGGACAGGTTCCAAACTGCAGAGTCCCTTGAGGGTGTGACAGGAGAGCAGGGCAGGTGGGGACAGAGCGAGAGAGGGCAGGGGACTGCCCTCAGAGCATTCAGCTGGTCACATGGTGGCGGGTTGTGCTTGAGGCCGGTGTGGGGAGGGATGCAGGTGGCAGAGAGGATGGAGGGCGGGCCAGAGAGGCCTCTAGCGAGGCTCTGAGTTGCGCCTGGCCAAGGTTGGCAGGAACTGAGTGCCTCTCTGACAGTTGTAGTAGCAGAAGTGATGGTAGCTGCCAGAGTCCCTTCCCAGGAAGGCAGGGGTGAAATCCAGGAAGAGGTCCCCAGGAAGAGGGGCTGCATGGGAATAGGGTGACAAGGACAGGTGCGTGGGATGGGAGGGGTCAGCTGAGAAACTCCCGAGATCAGCAGAACCCAGGGAACCTTAGAAGAACAAGTGGGTATCATTCGGCCAAAGAACTAGCATGATTGCATGCTGTGGCAGTGACAGTCTGCCGCCTTTGTGGGAGCTCATGACCGGTCACTAGCATAGTGGTACATGGCCGTGATCCTCCTACTAAGGAGGCTGAGGCAGGAGGGTCATGCTTTTGATACTAGCTTGGACAATTTAGTTAGAGACCTTGTTTCAAAGTAGAAAGTAAGAGGTGGGCATGTAATTCAGTGTTCTCTGGCCTTAATCCCCTTTATGGCAAAAACAGACTCCTTTTGAGACTGTGTCTCGCTGTGTAGTTCAGGCCATCTTGAGCTTACTGTGGAGCCCAGACTGACCTGGAACTTGTGATCTTCCTGCCTCAGCCTTCTGAGTGTTGGGATTACAGGTGTGCACCACCACACTCAGCCTAAATTCATGTGTTCTCTGAAGGATTTGTTGAAGTGAGGACCGGTGTGTACTCCGGGGCTGCTGGCCACTGCAGACCAGGTCCCTGGGGCTCTCACGGTGGGAGGCAGATACCGGGGGCCACTTACTTTTGTCATTCTGTTCACTCTCAGGAATGCTCCTCACTGCCAACGAGGCCCCCAAGATGGGCATCTACTACATCCCGGTAAGAAGCGCAAAAGGCCAGGAGGTGGGTGGGCAGGCGGTGACCCAGGCCCACAGATGCATGGGCAAAGCTGCTGGGCCAGGAGTTTGCTTCCAGCCAAGCAGCACCTTGACCTTCTCTCCCAGGCCAGCTGTGTGACACCAGTAGGCCTTAGAGACTGACATTCATAGCTGGATTTTCACTGTTCCTCTTGGTGTCAGCTGGGTCAGAATATTTAGTTTTGTACTGTTTATCGGAGTCTTCATCTAAAGAGTGTAATAGCCACTCACGGACCACCCGGGAACCTCCCATCATTTGTTCCTCAGAACCCACCGCAGCAGAAGGAAGGCGGCAGCGTGGTTGGCATGGTCAGGGTCACCACATTGCTCACAGTCCGCTCCCGGGATTCCTCCTAACCCATCAGAAGGAACAGCCCTAACGGTCAGGGAGGGATGGGCAGGAGCCACAGAGTAGGACACCACTGTTTCTAGGGATACCATCCCATTGTTGTGCTGGGGCTGGGGCTGGGCTCACAACCCTGAGCGGCTCCAGATCTGTGCTCTGCCTGGTCCCGGGCTCTCAGGAAGGGCAGCCGGATGTCTGTACCTGAGGCCTTGCACCACTGCCTTCGCCCTGGATTTACCCATGTGCTGCGCACACGCTCTGTGCTTTTGTGTCTCTAGCCGAGGTCTCTTGCTAGGTCACCCAGGCTGGCCTTGCCTTTGCTACCCTCCTGCCTCAACCTCCTTGTCACAGTGATGTCAAAAAGCAGTTGGGCTCGATGGAGTGAGTTGAGTCTGCTGGGCACCTCCTGTGGAGGTGAGGGGTGGGAACTCCTCAGCTAGACCCCACACCCCCACTTGGCCAGGAGCAGTGGGGCTGTGATGAGACCCTCAGGTGAGGCTGGAGGCTGGCTGCGAAGATAGCAGCGGGCAGCAAGAGGACAGTGTCAGAGCCTGGGGCGTAGGAGCTCTCTCCGTGGCTAAGGGAAGGGTCCGGTGAGCTGTGGTGGATGGGGAGTCTGCCTGGTGTCGGGGGAAGCACTGGGGCAGAGGGGTGGGCTTCGAGCTGAGCTGGACACAGCAAGGTGGGCTTCAGCAAGCTGTGGAAGGACACAGCTGGACCTGGGCCAGGCCTGCCCTGCCGGGGTTGAGAATCGAGCCTGGGGGCTGAGCAATTTTGTAAAAACGTTATTTTAATATTTTGTTCATTTAGTCATTTACTTTGTGGGCCTTTGCACGGAGCTACATCTTCAGCCCTTTTTTATTGTTTTAGACAAGGCATCCCTAAATTGCCCAGGCTGGGTTCAGTACGCAATCCTCTTGCCTCAGTCTTCCAGAGTACAGGGCTGACGGGTGTGCACCTCAAGTGGCCATGACATGGGGATCTGGAGTTCAGACAGATACGAGCTTTGTTATCCTGGTGGGTGCTGCCCATGGCTGGCCGCAGGCGTACACTGATGAAGCCAGAAGCCAGCCCTCTGAGATGGGGTGGTCTGCATCCTGGAGAACCCCTCACTGGTGCAAGCAGGGTTCAGGCAGGGGTCCAAGACTGGAGAGGCCAGCTTTGGGCTTCAAGGCAGACGTACTCACCCAGCTGATGCATGTGTGTGAAGAGAGGCTGCTCAGGTCTGTACCCTGCTCTCACTGCTCGCCCTAGCAGCACTGTCACAAAACGCTGGGCCTCCTGCCAGTCTTCGGGCATCACATTGCGTTTCACACCCGGGGACTGTGGCTGACTTCTCATCTTTCGAATCTGTTGCTTCCTGGGGTGGGTTTGGACTCTGAGCAGCAGGAACTTCGCCCAGCAGAGCCGAGGGACCTGGATATTTGGGTGCCTAGCTCCCCTAACACCCAGGAGATGCCCCAGACCCATCTGCAGGGCCAGCTGTGGTCAGGCCCTGTCTGCTGTGATCTGCTTGGCCTGAGAAGCCACTCTCTGGGGTGGAGGCTAAACCAGGGAGACTGAGCTGTGTAGGCTTCAGTGTAGAAGCTGGGAATGGCTCACGTGCCAAGTAGGTGAGATGAGTTTCCCCAGCTGGGGTGACAGGCATGGTCCCTCCCATGAGTGGGGAGGAGGGGACTCAAGGTGTCCTGGGCGCTCACCGTGGTGACAAGGGTTCCATATGGTCATGCATGGAGGCAGCGCACAGAAGAGTGTGTTGTCAGAGTGTGGAGGAAAATGAGATAGACCACACAGGAGAGGACCGTGGGGCAATGCACAGCCCAGCCTCCTGACAGGAAGGACCTGGGCTGAAGGAAGTCCCCGCTCAGAGCCGCCTGAGCAAGATGGGGCAGACGTGCTCAAAAACAAGATTCACTAGACCACACAGGGAGGCTATGTTTAGATGCTAGAGTCATGGCAGCCCCCTGGTGAGTGTGTTATGTGCTCACTTCTGTTCTAAGGACAGCTTTTACGAGGACATGTGGGGGACACATACACACCAAACCCCCAGGCTCATGGAAGAGTTTAGAGGCCAGGCTCGGCCTATTTTCACCCCTTTACCTGATTAACAAAAAGGGAGATAGGTGTCTTCTCAGTGCTTTTCCGTAATAACCAAGCTTACAGGAAATCTGCCATAATTGAATTTTGTCTTAGGCGTGAAATTGCTTTATGAGGCAGTGGCATTGTTTGTAGGTTTTGTATTCATCAATGGGATCAGAGGCTGGACAGTGTGGCAAACACCTGTCATCCTGGGAGTCAGGAGGCTGAGGCAGGAGGATTACTGTGAGTCAAAGTCCAGCCTGGGCGACATAGCAAGACCCTGTCTCAAAAAACAAAGAAAGGGAACCAAAGCACCAACTTCAGAAGGCTGATAGATGCTCGGTTTTAACACAAACATGTTGGGACAAACAGTGAGGAAGTAGGGGCTTCCCACTTTAAGCACTTTGAGGCGCTCACAGTATCTGTGACATTTTTCTCAACAAAGGAAATCCTCTTCATTTCCCTTCAGTTTATTGGGGCACAAGAATAGCAGACACACAGAAAACACTGGTGTATAAAGATCAGGAAGTCACCTTCTGAGCTTCCTGTCACATTTTCAGAGTTAATTTGAGCTCTGATGGGGTCAGGCGTCATACGCTTTCCATGTGGAAACATGTGACACACAGATGGCATGTTTCCTGTTGTGTTAACTCTGGGGTTTTTTGTTTGGTTGGTTTTTTTCTTTGGGTTTTTTGAGACAAGGTCTTGCTGTGTAGTTCAGGCTGGCCCTGAACTCATGAAAGCTGACCTGTGCTGGGAAGCCCCAGGGAGCTGGTTTACTAGTTTGCAGGCAGTGGAGGCTTTGGTTTCTCAAGAAGTTGCCCAGCTACATTCCCGAGTGCCTGGCCCTGTCCTGTTGCTCCGCAGTCCCAGCACTTGGTTCCATCGGGTTCTGCATCAAGGCCTCTCACAGGGCTGCAAGGCATCTTGGTGTTTGTCTCTATTGTCCACTCCAGAAAATTGTCACGCCAGGCCAGGGATTTAGCTCAACAGCCCAGTGCCTGCCTGGCAAATGTGAGATCCTGAGTTCAGTTCCTGGTACCAAAAGAAAAAAAAAAGCAAACGCTCCATTGGGGTCGCAGCTTTGTCTCCGTGAAGTAGAATCCTTTCTCAGGAACGTGCAGCAGTGTCATCCCCCTTCCTGGCTCAGGGGTCCTGGGGTCAGAGGCACCTGGCGTGCAGCTTTGGCTGCTCTGCACTTGGTGTTCAGCACCACAGCAGGTGGTACTGGTGCCCAGGGCCTGTCAGGAGCACAGCAGAGCCAGCTTCCCACAGACAGGGCTCTGCAGGGGCCCCAGAGGTCACGGGGGCTTTGTGGGGTGGGGAAGGGGGCAGCAGATCAGGAGACTGCACCAACTTTTTTGTGACTCTGTCACCAGGCACCAGGGAACGTGGACCTTTGGCGCAGGGAAGGCCAGAGGGCAGGAAGGCAGGGCCCAGGTCTGCACCTTGGACACCACATCCAAGCTTTGCCTCAAGTCACAAGAACTCCTTTGAGGGCCTTGGTCTGGGGAGTGAGGTCAGAGACATGTGTCACAGGCCTCAGCTGCAGGGAAGCTCTGGTGGGGAGGGGACTCACGGAGATGGGGGCACAGGTAAGAAGGGACAGCCAGAAGGGGTGCACAGGGTACGCAGATGAGGTTCATGACTCAACGGGAGCGGTGCATGGGGTTGGTGTGGGGGGTGGCACCACCTGCTGAGCCCAGTGGAGCTGGTGCTGAATTCGTTTCCGGAAATGGGGAGTTGTTCAGGCTCTCCCACAAGTGGAGTTGATAAGCTGCCCCAGGAGGGATCCATACCATCTTTCTGATTTATCTCCCCAGAAAGGACTGAAGGTTATGACTCAGGTTTTTGACATTACTAGAGAAAAAAATTATCTCTGTGCTAGGCATGGTGGCGCATACCCTGTGATCCCAGCACTCTGGAGGCTGAGGCAGGAGGAACACTGAGAGTTTGAAGCCAGCCAGGACTATAAAATGAGACCCTGCTTCAAAAAGCGAATATACCATGTTTATTATGTACGTCCCGAAGGTCTCATGTCAGTGAATGCACCCTGATCCCGGTCTTCCCGAGCAGTCTCTGTCTGAGACAGCATGTGGGGAATGCCCAGTGTTCAGGTTTGGTAGCAGATGTACCCTGCAGGCTGATTCTTGTCTGTGCACTGTGCCTGTATCCTGCCGGGGCTGTATTTTTGCTTTAGAGGGAATTCTCCAGTTTTGTATGAAAATGCCCCAAAACTCCATCACCTCCACAGGAAGTGTGGCACAGCCCCCGCACACCGCGGTTAGCAGCGTGTGGCAAATCACACATGACACATGCATGCACGCACACACGCATGTGCATAGCTGCTCACTCACTACTCCTGGAAGGTTTCTCGTTTGCTGTTTAATGGTGTGTTGTGCTGGTGGGGAGCTCATTGCTCTCATCCTGTGCAGGGTGTTGACACTTGGCCACATGGTGTTTGCAGTTTCCTGCTGTGGATTTTTTCACCCCAGGTCTCCACAGTAGTGGACAGTGGCCCCATGCCTGGCCCACCT